AAAAAAACAATAGAACCCCTCCCAAAACACAATAACAAATGTAATGGATTTCAAGGTTATAATGGGAATTTGTTTGGTTTTAATGTAAACTATAACGGTGTCTATTTGATGGATTCTATTGGTGGGAAGTAATCTGGCAGATGGCAACCAATACAACAACAGTAATGCCCAAAACAAAAAGGAATTTTGTAATGGTTTAATGGAAACTTTAAGAATGTCTGTGATGGTTTCTATAGTTTTTGTCAGCAGGGTAATGATACCCATACTGTGCTGCACATTATTGGCAATATTGAGCTGAAGCTTGACTTGCAAATTTAAAATCGCAAATCAAATCGCAATCGCAATATCTGTCAAAAAAAATCGCAATTTGATATTTTCCCCATATCGAGACCTATCGCGATATCACGATATTGATAATATCATTACATCCCTAGTAAATACTGATAGCATGTAGCATGTTTTCCTGTGATGTCAAAGCTGAATCTTCAGCAGTCATTACTCCAGTCTTCAGTGTCACATGATCCTTTAGAAGTCATCATGCTGATTTACTGCTCAAGAAACAGTTCTTCTTATTATTATTTCTTGTTATTCTTTGAATTTGAATTTAAACTAAGCAGAAGCAATTTAATCAAGTACTGTGGTTCTGCCATATCATCACAAATTCATAAAACAAATCACACAACCCAGGTTAAAAAAAGAAGTGCACTTCCATAATGTACTTAAAGTACTTAAAGTTCACGCACTAATTTTGTTCTTAATGCACTAAAAGTGATTCTTTAGTAGTACTTAAGATCGACTAAGTGTACTCAACTGTGCTATTCCGGGACACCATGAATATGAACTAAAATGTGCTTTTAACATACTATCTCTGTATTTAAAAAATGTTTAGTCACCACTTGAGTGTACTAGTGTATGAAAGATGGGTTCTTCAAGTGGTAACTAAATACATTTTTTCCCAAAATAGCACAGTTGAGTACAATTAGTCGATCTTAAGAAGTACTGAAGAA